AGGCTATGGCTCTTGGGAGACTTTAATGTTATTTGGCTCTTTGAATGATAAGGTTGGGGGTACTCCCTCAAGTTTTAAGAAGATTGAGGAATTGCAAAGTCTTATGTCGGATTGCTGTCTGATGGAGCTGGGTTTTAGTGGTCCAAGGTTCATGTGGTCAAACAATAGACCTGGTGCGGCTAACGTACAAGAAAGGATTGATAAGGATTGATAGAGCCCTTGTTAATTCCGAATGGTGTGAATCCTTCCCCTTTACACAGGTGATTCATGAGGCCAGGATGGGATCTGATCATTGTCCTCTTGTGGTTGAGTTTGGGGAGTCCATTCAGAAGAGACCTTTTTACTTCAAGTTTGAAAGTATGTGGCTGGATGATCCTGATTGTGAAGAGGTGATTAAGACCAGCTGGTTACCTAGACATTCTGGTTCACCATTCCTTCATGTCATAAATAATCTAGGGAAATGTAAATCCAATTTGATGTCATGGAGCAAACTTAAGTTTGGCAATAATAGAGAGATCATTCGGGATCTAGAGCAAGAACTACTCCACGTCCAGAACCTTGACCCATCTGAGGTGAATTTGTTGAGAGAGGCTAATCTTTGATCTCAAATTGATGTGGTTCGCAGCAGAAAGGAACAATTTTGGCTACATCGTTCAAGGATTCACTAGCTTAAGGGAGGAGATCAAAATACGAGATTCTATTCACTTATCTACCATCCAGAGACATCATCGCAATCATATTGTCAAACTCAAAAAGAATGATGAGGAATGGATTGAGGGGGAGGAGGACATCTCTTCTCATATTAAGTCCTATTTTTAGGACTTATTCAAGTCTTCTGGGGAGAGGGATTGGGGTAAAGCTTTGAGCTCTGTTGGTTCAAAAGTTTCTGGTGTTATGAATCAAAACCTCCTCTGTGAGCCTTTCCTTTCTGAGATTTGGGATGTTGTCTTTGAATTAGGAGCTCTTAAAGCCCCTGGCCCTGATGGTTTTCCAGGAGTCTTATTTCATCAATTTTGGCATATTGTTGGGCATGATGTGTTCCTTATGGTCTATGAGTTTTTTGAAGGTGGTCAGTTGTTTGATGGTTTGAACCATACTGATATTGTTCTGATTCCAAAAGAGGAGGCCCCTAAAGTTATCTATCAATTCAGACCTATTGCTTTATGTAATTTTGTGTACAAGGTCATTTCAAAGGTGTTGGCTAATAGAATGAAATTTTTTTTGGGCTCAATTGTTTTCCCTAACCAATCTGCTTTTATTCCAAATCGTCAAATTCAAGATAGTATTTTCTTTGCTAATGAAATCTTTCGTCATCTTAAGGGTAAGAGGAGAGGCAGGATCCCAAAGTTGGCAATTAAATTAGACATTAGCAAGGCTTATGATCGTGTTGAATGGGACTTTTTGGAGGCCACGATGGTTTCTTTGGGCTTTGATCTTCGTTGGGTGGCCCTCATTATGAAATGTGTTTCATCTGTGTCTTACCAGATGGTTATGAATGGGATTCGGATGTGTGAGGTTAAGCCTAAAAAGGGACTTCGTCAAGGTGACCCTCTCTCTCCCTACTTGTTTCTTATTGTTGCTGATGTCCTATCATCCATGATTCGTAAAGGGGTGGATGATAAATGACTTTTGGGATTAAAAGTCAAAAGGAGAAGCCCTGCCATTTCTCATCTCTTTTTTGTTGATGACTCCCTCTTCTTCATTAAAGCTAAGGAAGGTTGTATTAGAGAATTTATTAGACTCCTTCAGCTTTACTGTGTGGCCTCGGGTCAATGTGCCAATCTTTCTAAATCTGTTATTCTATTTTCTGTGAATACTTCAGAGGATCAGAGGGCTTTATGTTGCCATCTTCTTGGTCTGCAACCACTTCCTTATCAAGCTAGGTACTTGGGTATCCCTTCTATGTGGGGTCGATCTAAGAGTGAAGTCTTTGGACATATTCGGGAGAGGGTGACTAAGAAACTCCAAGGATGGAAGGGTTTTTGTCTGTCACAGGCTGGGAAGGAAGTCCTGATTAAGGAGGTGATCCAAGCTATACCTAATTATGCCATGTTTGTGGTGGCTTTCCCTAATAATCTCTGTGATAAGTTAAATAGATTAGTTAGACAATTTTGGTGGAAGGGCAACGAAGAGAGGAATGGTATTTGCTTGAAAAAATGGGTGAGAATGACCGAGTCCAAGGCTGGTGGAGGAATGGGCTTCAAGGACCTTCAAAATTTTGAATCAAGCCCTGTTGGCTAAGCAATGTTGGAGGTTGATTTCTCAATCTGATTCCTTCTGGGCGAAATTCACTAAAACAATCTACTTTCCTAATGATGATTTGATGCAGGCTAAGCGGGGCCACAGGCCCTCCTGGGACTGGAGTAGCCTTCTTCATGGTAGGTTTCTCCTTTTGAAAGGTTTAATGTGGCAAATTGGCGATGGACGTAGTGTTAATTTTTGAATTGATAAATGGGTTCTCCTCTCTCCTTCTCCGTCTGTTAATTCGCCAAAACCCCTTAATTCCCAGTTTGTCAGAGTGGCAAATTTTATTAAATTGAATCCCATTGGAGGGGATATTTCCTCTCTGTCTTCAGTTGTCTCTACGAAAGATACTAAAGCTATCAGTGTCATCTCATTGTCAAGGAGTGGAGCTATGGATAAAAGGATTTGGTGGCCTGATCGCAAGGGGATTTAAACTGTTAAGTCAGGGTATCGAATGGGTAACTCGTGTTTTGGGGACCAGCTTGACTGTGGCTCGTCTGCCTCCCCTCATCCCAAACTGTGGCAGATTATCTGAAATATGATGGCTCTTCCAAAGGTCAAACATTTTTGTTGGAAGGCCTATCATAATATTTTGGCTTCGAAGGAGAACCTTTTCATTAGGAAGTGTGCCCCCTCGCCGTGCTGCCCCATCTGTATGTCACCTCTTGAATCTATTGAACATATCCTTTTTGAATGTGATTGGACGAAAAGAGTTTGGTTTGGTATGAATTTGTCATTTGGGTGGGAGGTGCATTCGTTTCTTTCTATTGCCCAACGGACCACCTGGATTTTGGAGCAGGTTGATGATGCTTAGGGAAGATTAGAGGTTTTGGGGAAAGTTGCTATTGTGGGCTGGGTCATTTGGAAGGCTAGGAATCAGAAGGTTTTTTGTGATGAAGATGTTAATGCTTTTGCAACGATTTATCAAGCTCAAAACATGTGGAATGATCTGGCCAGTGTGTCCACTGCTTCTCCTCTCAGACCAGGTGCTTCTATGGCTTCTGAGGTACTGCCTTCTCCTCTTGCTCTTGAGGTTATGCTTTGCAGTGACGGTTCTTTTGATTCTAAGTCGGCAAAGGCTGCGTGAGGGGTGGTGGTGTGTAAGAAAGATGGCTCATTACTGGCTAGGGTTGCTGTGTCCTTTCCTGTCGTTTCCCCTTTGTTCGCTGAAGCTAAGGCAATGCGTCAAGCTTGCCTTTTAGCTGAAGCTCTTCTGCTATCTAATATCACTGTCATGAATGATTGTCTTAGCATTATCAAGTTAAGTTCTACTGAAGATATTCCCCCTTGAGAGTTTAATGCAATTATGGATGATATCAGATTTTTAGTTAGAGTTGAAAACCTTAGTTTTTTACACAAGCCTAAAGCCTGCAATAGAACTGCTCATTGGGTGGCAGTTACTAAGCTAACCAGTTCTCTCCCGTTGAACTGGTTAGACTCCCCCCTCCCGAGTTTAAGGCTTCTATTTTGTCTAATTGTAATCTAAATTTTCCTATTTAATTTATAGTGGCATTGCCTTGCTCTCATCAAAAAAAGGAAGAAGATGAAAGACTTGGATTTACCCAGTATATTTATTTATTCAAGGCTATCAAAAATATTTCAAACGTGATAGATTCAGACATTTACTACTCACAAAAACATTTAGAGAGCAAATATGATGTTTCTTGATCACTTGTTGTTGAAGTTTTCTAAAGAATATTATTTTGACAAACATAGTATTTATCTAAAGACAATGATGCCAACGTAGATTTGGAATTAAAAACGTTGCCATGCAATTCTTAAATATTTCTCATGCACGTATTTTTTTTTTTAAAGTTTGGGTCACTGCTTCAGGCTCTTTCTTGCAAGAATTGAAGATGTCATAGAAACTTGGGACAACTTAAAAAAATTGGGATTGATTATAAGTTTTTGAGTTTATTTTAAATTAATCGACAAAATTATAATTTAATGGTGTTTAAGCCGTATAATTCAAAATAATACTTGAAAGGACACCCAAGAATTCCGTGTAAACTTTTGATAGGAAGATTCAATATACACCAATACAAGTCATCACAATCTCTCCTCCTTAATTTACTCCTTCACATCCTCACAAGAGACCTATAACTGGTCACAAATATCACAATCGGCTCCTGGACAACCCAAAACTCGGTACCACTGATGTACAGTCATGCGCACAAATTGATTCTAATACCATATGTAGCAACCATAAGAATTCAACCAAAAAAAAAACTAAGTGACAAATTGTTATTTAAGGTTTGTTCTCCACGTATATATCAAAAAAAGTTCATACATATTTTCAATATATATTTCAACACGCACCAATTTGGGTCGTCACATGACAAGAACCATAAAAGAGACATAACAACTAACAACGTACTAGCTTTTAAAGTAGAGTAGTAATGTTATTTGAACTTAAAAATCTAATTTTATTTATTGCTATATGATTTCAATCTCAAACTCTCGTGGTCTCTTGATGTGTCTTTCTCCCACTCAGACACTTTGCACTTTCACTCGGGTCGAGGCTGCCACTCAATAAATATTTAATAATTTTTGAATTTTTGTTTTATGCAATTACATTAAATATGCTATTTCTTTATTTTGTTATGTTTTTTAGCATATTTATTCTCATTAATCATAATTTTTATTGTTTTTATTATATAATCAATCTAACTAATGACCCAACGGTTAGGGGCCAATGTCCAGACCGTGTTTAAAAACTATGCAAAAAAGTCACTGCAAAAAGCCCATAGTTATTCCATTGCCTGATAATAATTCTAATGAAAACTGGGAATCTGAAGAGAGACCCTTACAAATTGAAAACCGAAAGTTCAATATATTCCAGTAACATCAACAATTGCTCAGTAAAATAAAAAGCACAAGATGTCGAAAATCTCATGGAAAAATGATGAATGAATCCTGATAATAATACTCCTAAGCACTCTTGTCGGCTTTTGCAGCTGTGGCAGCAGCTTGTCCTCGAAGACACCCGGTCCTCCAGGCGGCAATGAGACCAACCTTTTGCCCAGGAGAAGCATCTCGGTGAACAGTACTGGCATGTCTAATCTGCTGATGGTTACCATCACCGTGAGGATGCTCCACAGGATTCATGGCAACACCACGAACCTTGGGCCAGCAATTCCTCTTCAACCTGTACTTGTGATATGCATTTCCAGCCTTCAAGAGTGGCTTCTCTGTCCGACCCCCACAGAAACTTGACCAATCATGGCTCGGCAACCACTTGGCACAATCTTCTTGGACCCAGAAGGAAGCTTGATTCTGATAGAAAATAATAATTTAGAGAATTACTAAGTGAAATCAGTAAGGGACAAAAGATTGAACTAAGAATCCTCATCTGGAGCTGCAAATCCCATACGCCGTGGTTCAAAATATATTGGCTAAAATAGCATCACAACCAACGCAATAAAAAAAAAAAAAAACCGACACATAAGATACAATAATTAGTTTACGGAGCAAATGTAGAGTACTAGATTGGTCGTGCTTGATACAGCCATATTATCTAATATGTATTTTCTGTTGAGTTGCAGAAACAAGCTTTCCAGAAGTTATCACAAGCTAGATATCCCAAAAAAGTTGCAATTTTGCAAAAGCTAGGCTTAGTGCAAAAAAAGACTATAATATCCTGCTAGGTAATAAAAGTTTGTCTTCCAGCTAAATTGAACTGTTTTGGACCCAAGTCAAGTAAAGTACTAATAATATAAATATAAATTCAAGTGCTACAGACTTCCAAAAGTACAATACAATTTTAACAGCTAACATACATAAAGCGATTAGAACAAGTTCTTGTACGTGTCAATAGTTAAGGAATAAGCATCAAATAGAGACACGACAATTTTCCTTCACATTAGTTTTCATCAGTGCACGCATAAGCCCTAATTTAATCCAAAGATATTAGTGCATGACCAATCCCCAATCCCATATATCATATTTAATATTTTAACCAAAAAAATTACTGCTTTTCAATTCAACTGATATCTAGCCCAATCCAAAACAAGAAGAAAGAACCAATAACATCTCAAGAAATAACAACATTAAATTCAATCCAATATCTCCCAATATCATTTTGATCATCCAACATAAGACCAATGACTAACTCACTTCACATCCCATTACCCGATAGAAAAATTAAAGGAAAAAAGAAGAGAGAATATACATACGTGAGTTCCATTGATTTTCTAAATCCCCTTTCAGCTCAAAACCCACAAGAAGCTCTCTCTCTCTCTCTCTCTCTCACACACACACACACATAAACAAACCTATACCACAACATGGTGGTGCCACGACACCACATTACAACATCAGCCAGCATGGCAACATTAGGATTAGGATTCAAGTTCAGTTTTCTGAATCCGATTCTGATTTTACTGATCCGAGTAGTTATCAAGAAAGGAGGGACAGTTGTGACTTTGATTTTGATTTTGGTTTTCTTTTAGAGTCATCACATTGAAAGGGTGAATTTGTTTTATATTTTGTGACTTGGATCGTTAATCACAATGTTGAATTGTGCTTTCATTATTGAATTGGTGATTGAGACCTCTATGCGCATATATTAGATGGGTGTCATGTCATGGTTCGAGCCGCAGAAATGGCATTTTTTCATAAAGGGATAAGGTTGTATACGTCTGACTTCTTTAGGCCTATAATGGTGGGAGTCTCGTGTACTAGATCGCCCTTAAGCATATACGTGAAATGATCAGAGATGCGATACGCAACGAGGGGAGGACAAATAAGAAGAAAAATGAGGAAGAAATGGGTAGATTTTGAAGGCCTAGTTTCCCCCCTCACAACTTATATTCGACTGACATCGTAAATCAAATATTTTTTTTTCCAATGTTGGCCATAAGAAGAAGTCTATCAAAAGCGAATGTGACAAATCTCTTACCAATCTCAACGGAAGCTAAAAACATGAACAGTTAAACACAAATTATTGATACTTTTGAGAACGACCTGCAATCATTGCACACTTTAGGGACCAAAATGATATTTTTAATATTTACCTCAAAAGAATTACAAAAAGCATGCTTCTTCAATCGACCACATTGTGGTATAGCTAAATACACGTTTCAATATCACTGCATAAGAAAAAATCACTAGCCCGATCAAGCACAAAATAAAAATTTCAATCTTCAAAATGTGTATTCATTGAATTCAAGGATATGGTGTCTAAGCTCAAATGGAACAAATAGGCTGACCCAAGGCAACAGAAACAATTGAATAGGCGTAGATGGTGATCTTATCATTCTTCAAGTCACTAACCATACCAAATCATGGGACATAAAACCTTGGGATATTTGGAGTCTAAGATCACATCCATTCTTTGAATGTTTTGTACAATATATGTTATGAAAAACTATGTTTTAACTTGTTCCACAATAAGAACCCAAATAGACAACCAAACCGACTATTGCCATCTTTTAGACAAAGTATTGTAGTGTTGTAATCTATCATCTGTCAAGAAACAACACTTCTATGACCATGCTAGTTATGTATTCAACACTAGCTGAATGTGCTACTTTATATTTTTAATTTTAAATACTATGATAAATATTCCTCTTGCGTAATTATGCATCATAACCACCTACTCTAAACTCAAAGTGTCGAATCTTGCCATTTTAACAAGCTCTCATCTCCTAAATGTGTACATGACTTTTAAAACAGCAAATGATGCTTCTAGATAATAGGAGGAGCTTCAACCCATCCCACCCACCAAAGAAAAACACTCCACTTCAAGCTTTTCGTTCTGCCCTCCTCATTTTTCTATGTACCCCTTCTGTATAGACATTCTCTTATATTGGAAAGCTTGATGTTGTCCCTAAGTTCTCTTCTTTCGCTTTCACATATTCTCATGAGAACTTCATTCAACCCTCCAAAGTTAAGGGAAGTCACACTCCTAGTGGTGTCACTGTCATTATCTAGAGAAGAAGGGGAAAAGGTAACTTAATTGTAAAACAAAAATACTAAGCATGAAATGATCAGCCCCTCTTTAATAGTGATCTTGTAAAACAAAAATACTAAGCATGAAATGATCAGCCCTTCTTTAATAGTGATCTTCAGCATACCACCATGAAGTCTCCAAGCTCTCTAGTCATCATCACATACACGTTACAATCAGTCAAATGCCAGGAAACAAAATATTTATACTACTAATAAAAGGAAGCTAATGAGAAAAACTATTGATTTTCTACTCTACCCCTACTTAATCATATAAAGACAATCATATCCTATTTTTAACTTTAACTCTTAGACCCTTCCTTTTCTAAAAATATTTGCAATTACAAGTGCAATGAATATATAGTATTACCTATAGGAAGACCTTTCATATTCATAACATTAGAGAAAATTACAAAACAATATAAGAATAGCAGTGCTATCCTTTCAAATCTTTACTTTCCAAACAGTAGAGAAATCTTCTCTCTTTAAATAATAAGGACTACCAGTATTTTGGTTCTTCTCTTAAACTTCCATAATACTCTCCACTTTTATCTTTAGCTTTTATTTTTTTTTCCAAGTTATCATGGATCTTATGAAAGTAGCACTTATAAACGATATTGAAGGTGATAAACTCAAAGTGCAAGAATTCAAATTTTTTTTTTTTTGTATCAATGCTTAGGTTTATTTGATTTTGTCTTTACTTTCAACTGTTGCTTTGATGATCTAATGTGAGGGTAATTTAGAACTTTAAGAGTATGTGATGTGTCTTATTCATTATTTAGATTTGTTTTTTATATATATATTTATCTTCTTTTTTTGTTTTTATTTAAAAATTTGATTTTTCATGATCCTGGTGTTTGAGATTGGACTGTTAATTTTTACAAAAAGTATACGCAAATTCTTCTTGTTAATTAAATTTTTATTCACTTCTATTGAATTTTAATCTATTTTTTGGTTTTTAATTCTCAAATGTTTAATGTAAGATTGTAATTTTTTCCAATCCAAAGACAATTTGAGGTAAGAAACTCTATATTCTTAATAGGAATTCTGGTAAATGTTGTCCACAACTATGGTAGAAGCAAAATATTTAAAATATAAATATCATAAACAACCAATCAGTAGTCAAATCGATCACTTGATGTGTACCTTTATTCTGCCTTTTTTATTTTCTAACTTCACCCTTATTTTATTCACACATTAACTACAAATATGGAGATAATCCGGATAAAAAGTAAAAAATTATAATTATAATTATAATTCAAAATGGTCCACCTACACATGCCTTAGCACCAACTAGTACATAGAAATGTTACTACAAGCCAATTCGCGCCACACCAAAAACAATAGGCAAGTTACCAAAAACAATACACACAACAGCACCCTCAGGAATCGAGCGAATAGGCAAGACATTACCCACCACCAGATTAGCTTTCTTGCCACATTACACGAGCTGACCGATGTAAATGCCCTCAGCGGCGACGAAGAGCTCTTTCTGGTGCTTGAAGCGAATTGGGTGTCGGAAAGTGACTCGAGTTAACGGAGCCCCCCGACCCGGGTCCTGGACGATCTCGGTGACCACGCCTCTGAGGTACCCGTTGCGCTCGCCGAAGTCGAGGGACCGGAATAAGGCGGGTCCTTTCCGGTGGTGGGTGTAGGACTTGAAGACGGACCCGGCACCTTTACATTTGGCGCGAATGACGCGACCCATTTTCTCTGGGTTAGGGTTAGGGTTAGGATTTTGGAACTGTGGATAAGGGAATGGATATGACGGTGAGGATAGAGAATTAGGATTTTATAGTGGAACGGTCAGTAGGAGGGATTTTGGGCTTTACGTACCACTTAGTTTTGGGCCTTGGCCCATTTTATTTCCAGTGGATTAGGTTGGTCATAGAGTATATTTTGGGATTTTAATGAAAGTCGACTGATGGAGACCCATCAACTAATCGAACACTTCTCTAAGTGAATTCATCAAAATTTTCAAGATTTTTTTTAGGGAAATTTAGAATCCGGTTTCCTAGATGGATTTGTTTGGACTTAAGTCCACTAAAGAAACTTATTTATTATAAAATTTATTTTTTGTCAATTTTATCGGATTATCCTTTTTCTTTAAAAGTAAAGTAAAACTAAAAATTAAAAACTCCTCAATCTTAGGAATTTAACTGACATTAAAAAATTTTCTTTCTCATATATATTTATATCTATATATAAATTAGGAATATATATATATATATATATATATATATATATATATATATATATATAATAACATTAAAAATAAAAAATAATAATATTTAAAACAAAAAAAAATTATCATTTAGACACAAGATAATACCATTTTAAACACAAAAAAAGTAACATTTAAACATAAATAAATAGTAACATGTTCAACAAAAATAGTAACATGTTTAACAAAAACAATAACATGTTTTACAATATTTATCTCTCTCAAATTCAAACACAAAAATAGTATCACTGAAATACAAAAATAATAATAATCAAAAAAAAAATAGTAACATGAAGAGTAACATACTCAACAAAAATAGTAACATAAATAGAAACATAGAAAAAGAAATAGTAATATGAAACATTCAATTTAACAAATTAATACTAATTCCAATAAAGCACGAACAGTAACATGAAAATACAAATAGAACCTAATTTCAAAAACAAAATAAAAAAAAATCCGGTAAAGAACGTTGCAATACAAATACCGGTAAGTAACATTGAATTTGAGTAAAAACAAAGGGAAAAAAAAACCAATTCTACCGAGATTTAAGCAAAAAAATACTGGTAAGTAACATTAAATCGCTATTGGTTTGAAAATTCTATCGAGATTTAAGCTATACACTGGAATCTGAAAAAGTTGTTCGCATCTCTCAAAAGTCGTCGGTCAGAAAAATCTCACTGTTCTTCCTCATTTGTGAGCTGAAACGAGGCAGTCTGTGTTTGCATGTGTGTGTGTGTGTGTTTCTTCACTTTTGAGTGCGTGAGGATGGAAATGGACAAAAGACAGAAGATAATGTTTGAATTTGAATTTAAATTGTTAAAGAAATTTTTTGATCTGAAATTGAATTAATAGACCAATGATTTTGTCGTAATTCAAGCATCAGATTATGATATATTCGGTTTCCATAAAAAACTAAACAATCTGTTACCATATATATCTCAAACATTTAACATATAGCTTTTCATAATTGACCAAATTTAACATTGTTAGGGGTATTCTTGAGATAAAAAAAAATGGACTTAAATCATTACACATAATTTTAAACATGGACTTAGCCCTTTATAAGTTTTCTTACCGGATTTATCTACAAACAAGTACTTTTAGGAGAACTCACCTCTAATTTTCACTTTTTTTTACTAGTACGTTGCACAATGAAATAAGTCTGAACTCTTCAAATATCTTTATGTTATCCACCTTTGGAATCGGAGCCCAAATATGTATTTTTCTTCTGGATGGATTACCTATGGTGAATTCATGGGCACATATTATATATAAATAAGTCTAACAATCAATTAAAGCATACAAGGGAGATGGGTAACAAGATTCGAACATGCAAAGCTTGATGTATTCAATCAATTTAAATCACCAACACTAATCGCCATGCACCACCTTCTCAAAGGGATGAGAAGAGAAAGACATCAATCAAATTAGCGGTTGATGTTGAATTGGATGGTATTTGAGGTGGCTTGAAAGAAAAGAGAGGTGTTGGTCGAATCGATTTTGTTGGCCTTGAGTCAATTCGATTGCCACTCAACGGGCTTGACTACAAAGCTTAAATTGACAGAAGTTTGGGACATGTAAGTTGAACTAAAACCATCATAAGAACTCAATTTCTCAGTGAAGTTTTCAAAAATTAAATACTAAAACTCAAAAATCAATTCTAAACTATTCAATCCATGAATAGAATTTATCTAAAATATGTATAATCAATCATTAAATAAAACCTAAAAGTCCACCAAATGCTTATAATTGCGAAGGGATTACAAACAATAATCTACATATAAGCCTTTTTTCGGTGGAGCTACTCTCATCTCTCTGTATACTTTAAGATACATGGATACATTTGAAGAATTATCATAATCAATCTCAGATAACAAATTCTTATAAATAAAATTTAATTGGTTTTTTTAGCAGACTATGTTCTTTAATGTGGTGTATTTTTACTAAGAAAAGAGACTATATCGATGATAATCAACAAGTGTTTTCTAATAGATTTGGAACCTCTCGGTTTTAAATTTTATCAACATCTATCAAGTTTAATAGATTTTGATGGTCTGCCCCAAACCAGACCCGAAATTACAGACTACGTCCAAAATTACAGACGAGACTCAATTCAGAAGCCTAGTTTAGGAATGCAGGTCAGGTCCACTGCAGGAAGGAGAAAGTTAGGCCAACTGCGCCATCTTGAGAGAGATTCAAGTCAGCCGTCTCATGCTGAGAGACTCAGTCCATAATTGACATGCGAAGAGATCTCCTTAGGACACGTACGTCATCACTTTCACGGAATTGTCTCACCTGCTACGAGAAGGGCACCACCTCCACCAAACTATCTCACTTGATATGAGAAAGGCGTCTCAATATGTTAAGAAGTGCCTATAAATTGTAAGTCTCACTTATAGAAGAAAGACATCACACACATATCACTCATACTTGAACACTCTACACTACTTGAGACAATAAAATACTCAGGTCATCATAATCCTTCACAGTAGAGTAGGTCATTTTGATCAAACTACAAGTGGTGCATAAATACATTTTATGCATTATCAGATCTATCATTAAATTTTGAATAGATGATGAAGTCGTTCTATATTTTAGTGGACAAGCTTCAATTAAATTTATTGGGCTTTTCGACATAATATTATCGATTATAGTAATATTTTTCTTGGTACAAGATATTTAGATTTGGAAATTCACAATTTCGAACTTGTATCCCAATGCATAATTCTCAAGTAGTACCACCATTTGCTTGTCCATATAAAGAACAATTGTCTGTCTCCATGTGATCTCGTGAAATAAAATCATGAGCATCAAGTTCTGAATTGTTTCTTAAATAATGACCATTTTTCAAATTCTTTTTAATGTTTTATTTGGTTGGAATAGAAAGGAGACATGTTAATTTATAGATCAAACAGGTAATTACAACGTAGAATACGAGGACTAGGAAGTTGTGCATGATTCACGTGCAGTGTAATTGGCTTTCCTTTTTGGCTTCTTGTTCATTTTCTTTCCCAAACAGCCGTCAGCGCTGAGGGCTACTGTATAAAAAATAATAATAATTTTGGTACCGCACTTTTAAATTTTATAACTTTTAAAAATTGGAAGAATAGAAAAAAATTATATTTGGTGAGAAAAAAACTTAGAATAAATTAACTTTTCTTTCCACTCACTAAAATCAATCCCTCTAAAATTAAAAGAAAAAGTTAATATATGTGTTGAAATGTAGGTTATTTGCTATATATTATATTTATCAATTATATATTACGTATACATTAATTTTATATATAGATATAATGATAAAATATATATATAATAAAGTAGCTTACAATTCAAATTTCAAAAGATAAACAAAATGACTTTTACTTTTCAGATCATTTTAAATTTTTCTTTAAAGTTAATCTAACGGCTAATATTAACACTCTAAATTTAATAGGAAAAAAAGAGCCCTAAAAATTGTGTTTGAAGTGACTTTTTAAAAATATTTTTAAGAATTATTTCTCATAAATACTTGAAAAAAAAAATAATATTTGAAACCATCTCACTACTACCTCTACCACCACCACTACCTCTATCACCCCTGCCACCACCACCACCCCCGTCGTCACCACTTCCACCACCGCCACAACCACTGCCATTGATGTCGCTACCACCACGTCGCCGTCGTTGTTGTCGTCGCCACCACGATCATTACCACTCACTACAACTATCACTGCCTCCTAACACTACCAATGTCGCCCACTACCTCTCATTCTCACTACCTCTCACCCCCACTACAACCGATAGCTTAAATTCATTTATCTCTCCTCTATGTTTGTAATTTGATTTTGGATATAAATACAAATTTGTTTATTATTTATTATTTTTTATTACTATGTGTCTTGCACAGACAATAACTAGTTTAGATAATAAAATAGCTTACAATTCAAATTTCAAAAAATAAACAAAATGACTTTTGTTATTGGCGGTTGAGATCGCTTTAAATTTTATTTTAAAATTAATATAACGACTAATATTAACACTCTAAATTTAATAGAAAAAATAGACACTTAAGAGTGTGTTTGGGTGTGATTTTTTAAAAATATTTTTTATACTTATAATTTCTCATAAATATTTTAAAAAAAAGTAGTGTTTGTAACCACCCCACCATGACCTTTACCACCATCAACACTATCACCACCACCCCCCACACCATTACCACTACCACTACCACTACTACCTCCACTATCGCCACCCCCCATCATCACCACCACCACTCACTACCCCTTATCGCACCCATCGTTGTCATTACCATACCACCTTTTACCATCACGACCATCACCACCTTCCCCCTTACACCCACCACCGTCACTGTCCTATAATCGATATCGCCACTCCACCACCACCGTCATTGTCCTACAACCGAGGCTGTCACTCCACCATCACATCTGCCACAACAACCACCATTATCCTATACTATTATCACCGTCATCATTACTATTGCC